GGCTTTTAAGCCATCCAAGTTGTAATGTGCTGACTGTGGGAACTGTTTCCTTTAATGGTGCATTTGCTCTAAACCAGATCTCTGCAGCTGCTAATGAAGAGTGAATCCTTTAATGATATCTAGCCGTGCAGTTGGTCTCACTTACTCGATCTTGCTGGATCTCAAAAAAAGCGAAGCAGGATCAGGCCTGGGGAAACCCCAAGGAAATCCCAGGGCTGCAGAAGTTTAAAAAACATCCCACAAAATGGCTATGGCAAAACCTTTTTGTATTCTTGCCAAGTCCGTGAATCGCCGCATATAGAGTTTGATGGGAGAGAACATTTGGCCTAGAGCAGGTGGCGCCTAGCCGATCTGGGGGGATCTTGAAAAACCAAAGAAGGCCAGACCTGCTAAGTATTTGGATGAGAAACCACAAAGATACCCCAGAAGAGTTGAAAAGAAACATGGCTGCACCCATGTTGTTACCAAGAGTCCAGCTCAATTCCATGGAGTTGTTATCTTTGTAGTAACACAAGATCCCCCTCTCTCATGATCACTGTGGGTGGACTTAGAGAAAACTGGCATTGTGCTCAAGCCTTTAGGTTGTATCCACACAACACACTAAGCCAGTATGCTGAACTGTGGTTTGCTGAGTAAACTGCAACTTCCTAAGTTCCCACCACACAATAAGCCTTTGGACAGCAAACCACTATATAGCTTGTGTGAACCCAGGCTGAGAATCTATGGATGTACATAAAATGGGCCTGAATTGACATACAAGATGATAGTTTTAGGATCCCACAGTACAATATGGTGTTTGGTGACTCTCCCAAGGGTTTGTGGGAGGACTGAGAGGAGAAGTTAACACCCGTAGAATAAGCAAAAGATACCCATAATAGGCTGGTTGATCACATCTTGAAGAAATTATGTTCAGTGTGCTACTCTTAAAAACAGCTGGACAGGTGACCATTTCTGAGTTAAGTCCATTACCTAAAAATATCTAACTGTACCATCCTTGTGCTTCCACATCATTTGTCATCCTTTGGTTGCCACAGGACCTCTCACCCGAATGGCCAGGGTGGGTGGAATTCCCCATAATTCTCCCTCATGCTCTGCTATCTCACCCGTTAAGACAGCAGGTGATAGAGGTATATGGCTGCCCCATTCCCCATTCATCCCACCCACAGAAGTGCACCAGAAGTTTGAGGAGCACCACACTGCAGGTTCTCAGAAGTGGAGATGACCGAGTTCGCTTAATGACTGAGTTGCCAGTTCCAGTGGTGGTCGCTAAACAAGGACTACCCATACAGGTAGTTTTCACCTAATGATGGTAATTGGGACCAGAAATGCCATCACTAAGCAATCTGGTCATAAAGCATGATGTCACATGACCATACCACTTAGCGATGGGAGTTCTGGTTGCCATTGTTCAGTGAATCCCGCATGGTCATTAAGGGAGGATGTCATGTGGTCACCATTTGCGACCTCCTACTGGCTTCCCCATTGACTTTGCTTGTGGAGAGCCAGCAGGGAATGTTGCAACTGGCAGTCATGTGATTGCAGGATGTGGTGATGTAACTGCAAGCCAGTTGCCAAGCACCCAGATCGTGATCATGTGACTATGAGAACACTGCAACAGCTGCAACTACGAGAACCATTCATAAGTCCCACTCATTCAGTGCCATTGTAACTTTGAACGGTCGCTGAATGAGCGGTCATTAAGTGAGGACTACCTGTATATGTATTCCAAGTACCAGCACACAGGGAGAGTACGAGCTACAGGGTTCAATGCAAGTCATTGCTCCAAATTCAACGTACCAACATTCACCGAACGAGATTATCTGTTCCTAAATGACTATATGATTTGTACAGCAGCTGCATAAACTGACAGAATATGGTTTTTCTTCTGAAGGCGGGGACCAGACACCAAGGGTTCATGTCATGGAAGAATTCTAGCATTTATCAGATTTGTGTAACTATTTAGGTATTACGAGAGATCTTTGACTGGGGGTCTTTAATGGTGTTTTGTCATAGAAACAATGATGTTTATTATCTTGCTGTGAATGTTCTAAAATGAATGGTTGGAAGGGGGGCGGGTTGGTTTTTTGGGTTTTTCCCTTGGGGAGCGTGGGAAGTGGGCGATGTTTATTTCATTAAAAAAAATCCTCTT